GCCGCCGCCGCAGAGGCGCGATCAGTCGCCGGCGCTGACGCGCCAGCGATGCGCGCCGAGAAGACGCGAGCCTAGCAGAAGAATGAGGAAACGGATATCGCGGTCGCGGCGCCGTCGAGCGGTTCGGGCGCGCCCCCTTCCGCGGGAGCGCTTCGCGGGGTCGACCTCGGCAGGGGGGGGGCCCAAAACGCCCGGGCGCGGCGAGGCGCGCGACGCCCTCGAGACTCCGAAGCGCGGAGAAGCCCCCGAAACGGCCACGGCGCCAGAGGCGCCAGACATCGGGGCGCGCGACGGCGCGAGGAAGCTTTCTTCCGAGGCCCAAGTGCGCGCGGTGCACGTCGCGGAGTCGGCGGACAGTTTCGCGTTGATCGGCTTGGGCCATGCTGCGATCATTCAGCCGGGCATCAAGAGCGCGGAGCTCGGAGGGGAAGCGCCTTCGGCGAGGGAGCGCTTCGCGGAGCGCGGGGGGCGCGGGGAGGAAGCGCCGCCGGCGGGGGCTTCTGAGGCCCAGCTGGGCCAGGGGGGCGAAAGGCGACGTCCGCAATGCGCGGCGAAGCCAGAGGGAGAGGCCGGCAGGAAGGGCGCTGTTCGCCGTTCGATGCTGCCCTGCAACCAGGCGGGCGGGCGCGGGAAGACGCTCGCGCGAGACCACATCTCGAATGCGCAGTTATAGACTGGGGGGCCAGGCGAATGCGCGAGGGCTGCGCGGGGCAGAGTCGCAAGCATCGGCAGTGCGGAAAATGTCAGGGGTCGTTGCCTCTGGGGGGATATTTGCAGCGTCGGGCGAAGACGCCGAGCTGCGCGCGAGAACTGGAGAGGCGGCGGCGCGACGGACGCATGGAAAACGCGCAGAGAAATTCAGAGGTCACACGCAACAGAATGCGTCGCAGATCTCCCAGGCGCCCGCGAAGACTGAGGCGGCGAGGCAGCGCGCGCCAAGCCAGGATGGATGGGGCGCCCGCAGACCGAAGGCCAGGGGCAGAAGCAGAGCGACCCGGAACAAGTAATTACGGGAAAGGGGCTGCGGGGCATGGGAGGCGCGAGGCGAACCGCGGTGCGCGTTGGCGTCGGCTGTCGTGGCACCGCTTGCGGTTGGAACGATGCCGAGCGGGCCGGCGAATGTGAAGGCGCTGTTCGGACGCTCCGCGAAGACTTCGGTCGCTCGGGGGATTTGCGGCAGAGTTTGCCGGGCAGCTGTCTAAGTTGCGCTCTGGTGCGCCTATGCGACAGATGCCAGTTGCCAGCGTGTTTTTCGTCGACGCGCGCTGGCTACGGAGGAGTAGCGCAGGAAGAGAGCAAGAGAAAGACAAACAGGAAAAGGGGGGGGAAAGTGCGCGCGACAGTGAGGGGGCGCGAGTACATGGGCGGAAACTTCCAGGAGGGCGCCGTATCTGACCCGGGACTCTCCCCCCTGGACCACTCCTGGGGGCCCCCGTTTCCTTTCCCCGCGGGGGAGGGATCATCGAAGGGATGGGGCTTCCCTTCGAGTCGATGACGACGTCGCTCGATTTTGCTGTGGTTGGCGCGTTTGAGGAAGAGGGCCCAGGGAAGAGGGAGGGCAGCGCCGGGGCCAGCCGCGGCCGGCGGGGCCGGGGCTGGGGCCAGAACCGCCGGGGACCGGGGCCGGGGCCGGCCGGGGCCGGGGGCCGGGACTGGGGGCCGGGGCCGGGTTTGGGACCAGCCGCGGCCAGGGCTGGGGCCGGGACCGGGATCATAGCGCGCGGGGCTGGATGCCAGGCCCGGAGCGGAGAGGGGCCGGAGCCTGGGCGGACATCGGGACCTGGGGCCAGGGCCGCGGGCCGGGGCCGGGGCTGGAACCGGGACGGAGCCGGCGGCGCCTGGGCCGGACCGGGGTCAGGGCCGAGGCCCAGCCCCCAGGGACGGGGCCAGGGCCGGGGCAGGGGCCGGGGCCGGGGCCGGGAGCAAGGCCAGGGCCGCGTCCAAGGCTGGGGCCTGTGCTGGGACAGGGAGCTCCAGAGCACTGAATGGCGCGGAAATGGCGGCCCTCCCCCCCTTGGCAGAGCGAACCCCCTCGCGTCGGAAATGGCGCCCCCCCCTTGCAGAGCGAAGCTTGAGCGAGCTCAAGTCGGCGCTCGCAGAAACTCGCGCGCCGGATTCACACACACACACATGTGTATGCACATGCCTATGTGTGGATACACACATACATACATACATACATACATACATACATACATACATACATACATACATACATACATACATACATACATACATACATACATACATACATACATACATACATATATATATATACATACATACATACATACACACATACATACATACATACATACATACATACATACATACATACATGCATACATACATACATACATACATACATACATACATACATACATACATACATACATACATACATATATATTGGGGAGGAGGGCCTGGGCCAGGGGGGGGGCCTCACTTTGCCCGGCGGCCGTGGTCCACTCCCCCCAGGGGCGCCCCAGACGGCCCCCGAGGGCGCACAAGACGGCCCACGAAGGCCTCGAGATTGCCCCGAGAGACGGTCCAAGGTGGCTCCAGGATTGCCCAAGATTTCCCCACATTGCCTCCAAGCTGGCACAACATAGTCCAACATGGCTCTAGATAGCTTGTCAAGATGCCTCGAAGAGGCCCCCAAGAGTACCCAAGAGGCCCCCGAGAGGCTCCCAAGAGGCCAAACGCGTAAGAAAGTGTAAGGAACACCTGCAGATTGTGCCTTTTCACTTTTTCGCTTCCGATCGGCCTCTGAGGCTTCAATATGGCCCCCAAAAAAGCCCAAGAGAGCCCCGAGAGGAGCTCAACGGTCCGCGAGACGTGCCAATGCGCGCCGACAAGCCCCCCAAGACGGCCCCAGATCGCCCCAGGACGGCCCAGAGAGGCCCCCAGGGCAGCCTCGGAAGGCGTCAAACGGGACAAGAGCGCCCTTGGACAGCCCAACAAGCTCCCAATTGGCCCCAAAGAGGCCCCCAAGAGGCCCCCCAAAGACCGCAAGGGGCGCCCGAGACGCCCCCGAGAGGCTTCCAGGAGGCCCCCAAGAGACCAACATGTTTCAAACACCTCAGGAATTCGCTGATGTTGCCTCCTCGCCTTCATCGCTTCCGACGGGTCTCTGAGGCTTCGAGATGGGCCCAACAATTGCCCAAGAGAGCTCCAAGAGGAGCCCGAGATATGATCCGTTGCTATTTTGGCTCAAACCGTCTTGGCTCGAGCCGCGTGGGCCCCCTGCTTCGCCCCCGCCCGCCCGTGCCCGGGGCGGCAGGGAGTCGTGGCTATCCCCATAACCGCCGAAAAGTTAACATTTACCCATCGAATTGTTCCCCTCTCTGAATCTTTCACCGCCAATGGCGACGCCCCGCTCATTGCATATCGTGATAAGGCGATTGTGCAGAGGATTACTCCTGCTGACGCTTGCATGCATCTGGTTAAATTATTGGCATGGGGCCCATTGCAATCCAAGCTTTTCTATCCGCGCGATCTTCTTCGACGTCCTTGGTGCACGCACCTCGTTCGCCAGGTCTCGCGATGATGCGTTATCTTTTTGGGGCGACGTCGAAGTGGCAATGCGGGTCATGCTCACAGGTAATGCAACATCTGCTAAACGGCTCCCAGGATGACGCCGCAGAGTTTTGCGAGTGGATGTTACGCGACGCCCCCATCGCAGGCCCTCTGACGCAAGCCCGCGATGCTCTTGAGAACAAACATGCCGCTCGATATGGACGTTGCATTGCCAATGCTGGCTTTGACACGATGACGCTCGGGGTCGGCGGCTGGAGAAATGCTGGCAGAGCCGGGAATCTCTCGTCAAGTTGGGGTACTACAGCTGAAGAAGTTATTTCTTCCCTTCTTCGCAGGCCAAAGCAGCAGTTTCTCAGAGCCTGGCTTGACATCTTCTGGCAATTCTGGTGTGTACGAAGGAGTCCCAGAATACAGCCGGACACAGTGCATTTTTGCATTCAAGAGGTACGCGTGGTGTTTGCGCACAGTCGGAAACAGAGGTGTCGTTCGTGACAGCGTCGGCCTGCCCCGCGCTGTTGGTTGTGGCAGGTCCTGAAGGGGATAGCCAACCACACGCCGAAACGCTGGAGACGGACTGGACCAGGGGTGCCCGACAGAGTGGGCATACTCACTCCTAGGCCAGAAAGGAAGCCACAGGAACTTGCGCAGTCAATTGCTTCTCGGCGACCCTGGCGCGGCTTAGCCGGTGCCCGGCGAGCCTGAGGCGGGTGTGCAAATAATGCCTTGTATGTTACACTAATATGGATATGCTTGGCGAGTGACTGGGTGTCAGCCGAAAGCTTCTCCAGGAGCTCGTCTTCGGTGGTGCGGCCTTTTTTCCCAACAGTCAGAGAGGTAGCAATGGTGGCTTTACCAAAAGGGGGGGGGGTCGCAGGTGCGCTCTGATTATCCACAAGCGCCTAACGCAGGGGCCAGGTGCTCCCACCCCTGGGTCGTGGTTAGAGTCCGCTCAAGGAAAAGGAGGCGCGCACCCGGCTTAGCCGCGGTTGCCGGCGGCGTCACGAAAGAGGGGGCAGTTGTTTCTTCCCTTCTTCGAAGGCCGAGACAGCAATTTCTCAGAGCCTGGCTCGACATCCTCTGGCAATTTTGGCGTGTGCGAAGGAGTCCCAGAGTACAGCCAGACACAGTGCATTTTTGCATTCAAGAGGTACGCGTGGTGTTTGCGCACAGTCGGAAACAGAGGTGTCGTTCGTGACAGCGTCGGCCTGCCCCGCGCGGTTGGTTGTGGCAGGTCCTGAAGAGGATAGCCAACCACACGCCGAAACGCTGGAGACGGACTGGACCAGGGGTGCCCGACAGAGTGGGCAGATTCAGTCCCAGACCAGACAGGAAGCCAAAGGAAGTTGCGCAGTCAATTGCTTCTCGGCGACCCTGGCGCGGCTTAGCCGTGGCCCGGCGAGCCTGAGGCGGGTGTGCAAAGAATGCCTTGTATTTTGCACTAATATGGATATGCTTGGCGCATGACTGAAGAGGCTGATCGTCGCGATGCGCCGCGCGTCTTGGCTCTTGCATCAGTTGGTTTTGGAAATGCATGTTGCGATCTCCTTGGAGGTCGCGACTTGAGGTTCATAGCCAAGAACTCAGTGCGCATGTGCAGAATCACCATTGGATTCGACAAGTTTGTTGACGATGTCAGGTTTGCATCTTACAGAGGAGATGTAGCTGGCTATGCCGCAGGTTTCGGCGGAGTCGCGCACAACTTTGCGGCGAGTGGGGAGTCCATCACATCCGACAGCTCAGCTTGCGAGTGTTCAAGGAGCGTTACCGTGTGAAGGCCCCACTCGATGCTGCAAGATGCGCGCAATAGGTGGAGCGATTTTCTGGGGCTGGGATGGTGACAGTGAACTAGAAGCATTCCTTGTTAGCGATCTCAGTAGGGATAACACAGCCGCGTACGAACAGCTCTACACTGTACCAACGGATGGGGCGTCGTCGCCATACTACATGAGGCCCTCTGACGTGAAGGAGTTCGACAAGATAGCTCAAGATGCCGGCCTCCCAGCATCCACGCCGCCCCCAACCAGCCGGAAAGACGCCGAGCAATTCGGTAAACATATGCACCGCAGGACTGAAGCTAAGTGTGAACGGCAAGCTGCACGGGCTGCGCGGGAGCGGGAATTCGGGACGTGGCAGAAGTAGTCAAGAGGTTCCGCTTGCCTGAATCCACGCCATGCCGTGCAAGCCTGGCAGAACTTGAACATTTTATCGGCTTGGCGAACCGAAGAATTGAGGAGTTAAACAGGTCCAGGTATTTTCGAGGAGAGATGGTTTATCGAGACCTAAGTTGGGCGAGGGCGCATATGAATACATCAGCGCCTCCTTTGACATGGAGCCCTATCTCTCGGAGTTCAATATTCGTCCAACTTTTGGGCTTGCGTTAGAAATTGTCATCGTAGCATTGTTTCAGCATTATTTCCGATGTTCCTTGGCGACAGAAAATACATATATGATGACCCAAGACGGCCCCAAGGGCGCCCAAAAACTCTTCAAGACGGCCCCAGGCCCGAAGACGGTGCAAGGTCGCTCCAGGACAGTCCCAGGACGGCCCACCATGCTTCGAGAAGAGCCCATGGAGTCTCCAAGGTTCGCCAATGGGGGCCCGCGGAGAGCCCCTCAGAGACGCCGAAGAGGGATTCTGTTTCTCTTGTTTTACAGAGTTATTTCATGATTTTACTATCGCTGCCGTTTCTGTGAGCGCCACCGACGGTTCAAAATCTCTCCAATATCGCTCCAGGACAGGTCACAAGAGTCCCAAGAGGGCACCAGGTAGGTGGAGCCCATGATGGCCCAGGAGGGCCCCAGGATCGCCTAAGTAAGAGGGTGCCGAGGTTCCAAGAGGGTCCCGGTGGGGGACCCAAGATAACCCAAGAGAGCCCCACAACAGTCCAGGATGCTCCCAGGATGGCCCCAAGATCGCCCGAAGAGATCCCAAGACGGCCGTGCGGGTCCGATGATGGCCCAAGAGTTCCCCATGACAGCCCAAGAGGCCCACAGGACGACTCAACAGCTTCCCAATACGCCCCGAGAGGGCTCCAATAACAATAATATCTCCAAGAGAGCCCCGAGAGCCCATCATCATTTATCATAGATCATGTTTGCTCTTTATATGATTTGTCCGTCCTCGTTTTTTCGGGCTGCCACCGCTCCAAGATGCCCCAATAGCCCGCCAATGTCGCCCGAAGACAGCCCAGGAGGCCGCCGAGAGAGCCCACAAATTCCCCAAAGGAGTCGGAACACGGCCCAGGAAGCCACCAAAACGGCCCAATAGTCCTCCAACATGGCCCCGAGAAATGCCCAAGAGAGGGAAAGCGATGTCGCCTTGGGCGCCTTCCCGTCAAAACATACCCACCAAGATGCTCCCACGACGCTCCCAGGGACCCCCCCCCGAGACACCCGCACGAGGCCCCCCAAAGGTTCCCAATCCGCTTCTGGAGAGGCTCCAGGAAGATCGTTATTTGGACAGCCTTCCCCCCTGCGCCGGTAGGAATCGGAAGGACGAGGAGGATATGCAGGAGATGGCGGAGGAGGATGGAACTCGGACTGAGGACGAAGTATGATAGTGATGGACGAAACGAAACGCGAACATGACGATAAGGATGATGAACTGGAATGGCGGGAGGAAGTGGATGAGACCGACGATGAGGAGGAGCAGGAATTGTATTACCAAGCGAAGTATACTAAGGGAGGTCAGCGGCGGAGAGGAATGAGGCAGAAGAACACATGAAACGCACGGGGCGAATGATGAGGTGAAGGATGATGATGATGTTGATGATGATGATGAGGAGGAGGAGGAGGAGGAGGAGAGAAGAGGGAGGAGGAGGAGGAGGAAGAGGAGGAGGAGGATGAGGAGGAAGAGGAGAATTAGGTGAAGAAGTGGTGCTACAATAACATATCGCGGCAGTCGTTGTCTATGAACCCGTCTAGAATTTGAGCGCGCGCGAAGCGCGCGATGAGTCTAGTGTATATACATATATATGCACATACACGCTCACAGATCGAAGACGCCTACGGCGAATCACCGCCGCCCCCTGCCTTTGTGGAAGCGCCTATGTGGCCGAACGTTGGGGCCAGACCTGCCGCGCTATCGGACCATGTGTTCCCCGAATCGGTTTGCAAAGCCTTCGGGGAACACGTGGGCATCTTGAAGGTCATCTTGGCCGCCTGGAGGCCATTTTGACCCTTTCGGGCCTTCTTGGAGGACGTATTGGAGCGCTCTTGGGCCGTCTTGGAGGCCATCTTGAGCGTCTTGGAGGCCTCTTCGGCCGTCTTGGGCGCCTCTTGGGGCCGTCTTGGGCCTCTTGGGCGATCTTTGGGGGCACCTGGGCCGTCTCGGGCCGTCGGAACGCAGAACAAAAGCAAATGCCACAATCCTTCAAAAACTCATGGGAAATCAATATTTTGTGCCTTTTCGGGCCTTCCTGGACTCCCTCTTGGAGGCCCCTTGGGCCGTCTTGGGCCATCTTAGTGCCATCTTCGGCCGTCTTGGTGGGCCCGTGGCCCGTGCGACGCCGTCGGAAGCCGTTTGGGGGGCCTCTCTGAACCGACTTGGGGCCCTCTTGGAATGCTCCAGCGCCGTCTTGGAGGCCATCTTGGGCGTCTTCAAAGCCTCCTGGGCCGTCTTGGGGGCTTCTCGGGGCCGTCTTGGGGGCCTCTTGGGGCCGTCTTGGGGGCCTCTTGGGCAGTCCTGAGCAATCTTGGAGGCCTCTTGGGCGCTGTGGGGGCGATCTTGAAGGCCTCTTGGGCCGTCTTGGGTCGTCGGAAAGCCGAGAAGAAGCGAATGCCAAAATCCTTCAAACACCTAAGGAACATCAATGATTTTGGCCTCTTCGGGCCCTCCTGGAGGACCTTTTGGACGCCTTTGGGGCCGTCTTGGAAGCCTCTGGGGGGCCTCTTGGACCGTCTTGGGCCGTCTTGGACTCTCTTGGGCCGTCTTGGAGGCCGTCTTGGACCATCTTGGGCGAATTTGGAGGCCACCTTGGACTATCTTGGACTCTAAAGCGAGCTGGGGGACGTAAGGAGCGGAAGCGGGCGTGCGCCCGCGGCCGTCTTGGCTCAAAGCGGCCGGCCGCCTAGATTTGACTGTGCCTCACCGCGAGGCACACTATCGCTATCGAGACTAAAAGGCATCACCTTGTACTTGACATGGCATCCCCTCTTGCATGGGGACTACCGCTACTACGATACAACCGAGCTGGAGCTTGGCTTCGCCTGAGGCGAAGCTGTTGGCGGGGCCTCCCAGCCCCCTTCAAACTTGGTAGCGGAGCTGGCCTATGGTGGTCAGCTCTAGCTCTACTCCTCACCATCCACGGCACTATCTGGTGGACTACAGCTGCGGTGGAACATCAGGGTGCAGTGGCATTGCGCGGAGGAGTGTACATATATACGCAGTACCGCAAGGAAACTTGCAGTGACACCTCTGCTCCAGCGGAGGTCTCTTACTCATATTCTAGATCCCTGCGCTACTGCACTCCTCAAGTCCGCCCACCTACTCCAGTTGGAAATTTCTTCGAATATCTAATGCGTGGAAACATGCGGTACGATATACTGCCGCCTCTGACCCTTCGCTGACTTACGACGACCAGCACGAGTCTCCACCGACTACACCCGACTACGACCTACGAGGCCATTGGATTGGGGTTACTATCTTTGGGCTCATATGGGTCGCTCTTGGATGTGCGGTGGGACATATGCGGGGCGGAGACGACACTAGGACGACCGGCGCCCATTGGGATCCATGGTACTCGCGGACAAGTGCCATTTCGCGAGTTTGTCCGCGAGCTACACGCCTGGATCAACGTGACCACAGGCAACATGACGCCCTCCCAACAGGCCGCCGCACTCCGGCGCGGTCTTGGAGGGCTCGCACGGACCATAGCCATGAGAGTTCCCCCAGCAGTCATCAATTGTGGTGTCAATATAGGTGGTCGCCACACCGACGGCGCCACCTACATTATGTCCCTCTTAAGAACGAAGTTCGAGAACCTAGAAGAGGAACGCCAACTCAACTCTGGCACGGCTCTCATTGAGTTTCGTGTCCATGCGGGAGAAAGAATCGACCAGTCGTTAGCACGGCTCGAGATAGCCCGCTTCGAAGCAGAAGCCGCCGGCTTCAACGTCCCCAACTTCCAGATATTAGCAGTAATCTGATTCGCAGATTTGGGAGTGGGGGCGTCGCGGGCACAGCAGCTCCTGCAGCCTCTGAACCACCATATGCCGAGGGACCAAGCGCAACTTGATGCTCTCCTCGAACGTATGAGGTCATATGCGCACATAGTTGAGAGAACCCCTGGCAATATCGGTGGTATTTTTAGTCGCGGTCACCGAACCGAGACCTTCCATACAGAGGCCAACGCAGGGCAACCTGCTAACAATCTGGAACGATGATACGCCGCCGTCTGAGACCACTACATTGTTGGCCCAGAATGGCAGTGCGGCCTCGGGGTCTCAAGACCCCTGGGCCAGATCTAGGGGGCCACCCGACGCGGTCTCCCCTGTACAAGCTATGGCCCTAGTGGGCTCTGCGGGGCAACCCGCCGAGTCCGACCTCGACTCAGGTACCGATGCCGATGCGTCTTCTGATGATGAAACTACCGCGCTGGACTATTCTGATATGCCTACATATCTTACTGAAGAGCAGCAAGCTCAGTGGCTATTTCTGGGCTATCAAAGATACGAGCGTCATCGGCGGAGATGCATGAAGAAACCAGTCAGAAGGGTAAGACGTATGGCACGGCGGATACTCAAAGGAAAAGGCAAGGGTCGAAGTAAAGGC